ACAACGAATTCAGGGCCGAACAGTTGATTCAGTTCTTAAATACAGAAGGAGTCGAAGTACACTTAAAAAAACCAAACTCCCATACAGGTAATGCAGATATTGAGACGCTGCACTCAACCCTGTTAAAAAAACTAATAGGAATCGATGATCCAAGTCTCGCGACAGAAATGAGGATACAGATCGTTATAGGTAACTATAATGATCGCTATCACTAAACCATAAAATGTACATCTAATAATGTAAGAAATAGTATTGATCCAACCATTATAAAAAACGCAATAGACCAGAAGAAACAACTTATAATACACAACAGAAATAGGTACAGAGAGGACTATGAGGAACAACGGGGCCGATAAAAAATTATAAAAAAGTAGACGCAAGGACGAACTATATTTCCGAATCACTCCCTTGCCAAACATTCATGTAACAAAAATAAAAAGTCCACTTAAATTGGATAGGATAGGTACAGAAAATGACGATGATAGGTTAAGCACAGTAGTACATAATGGCGATGTTAACTAAAGAGGAAATTAATAGCTTTGACATAAATTTTTATAAGCTGAAACTAGCCAAAGTAGGAGTAGTAGCTTTCAAAAGTGAAGCACTTGTGTTCGCTATTCCAATACCAAAAAGTTTTTTAAGATATATGTAAAATTAATTATGCCTCTACCAACGAAAATTTGCAAATAGCTCAAGAGGATGAAAAAATTGTAACAATAAATAAAAAACATTATACATATAAAGGTAATACGTTATTAAAAAAAACTAAAATTTATTGATAAACTGATACATCCTGTTAAAATGTTAAACCAAATCTATGAGTCAAAAATAAATTTTTACGATATCGTACTAAATCATTTTAAGAATATTAAAGAAATAGAAGAGCTAAAGTATCATAATAGTGTATCTTATGGCATAGGTGCCTCAATAATTATAATAATACTAATAAATATAATAATTATTGTTATTATTTACTTATGTAAACAAAAAAATGAAAAAAAAAGTCTTAAAAGAAGAAGAAGGAGACCGCTCAGAGTGGCTCTGGAGGAGTTACATCTCAGGTTACGTCAACTGACAGCATGCAGTTGTGCACCACATCGCTTGATCAGCCAGTACGTGACCAAAACACCAGACTCGGCATATTTTGAGTCTGTTGGAATGTGCGGTACACCCACACATTGTGGCAGACTCGAGTTGCTGAACTAATGGCAGAGTGAGTCTGATTCTTTCTACAGACCAAATAGGTATTATCCATAACTCGCGTGTTGAACTTCGTGCAACGGTTGGCGCCGTTGCTGCCGTGATAGTTCGGGACGCTGCTACTAGAACAGTCCCTTTAAATGACATGACGCAATGATCGACCGTCTGTAGGGTTGCAAGATTTAGGTTTACGTTTGTCTTGCGGCTTTAAAACTTTTTGAAATTCTCTTTGCGGTTTTTCCGTGATGATATCGGATTATTATTAATTTATTTTCTTTTTCTCGGCTTATCCGATCGGTTTAGGAATGGTTATTATGTGCGTTTACGAAAGCAGCGGCAGTTGGCAAGAAACACAATTTAACGAGCGGCCGGGTTAGTGTTCCATTTTGAGTACGGATATCAGCTATCCATATATGGCCGTCTGAACCGTCGTGAAGTTTCTCTATGCGGCCAAGCCGTCATTCTGAGGGGTTCGTGAACTAGGACACAAGGTCCTTTAAATACTCTTCTTTCCATCGGCGGCTGAAATTATGATGGAGATTTTTACTTCGTCTTGACGGCGACTCCACGCCTGGCTCGGATCTGGCCAAAATTGTTGCTACTTTATGAAAATGCCCCGGCGTGAGGGCAGCAAATTCTGAGGGGTCTTGCGAGAGTGCAKTGAGAGGCTGTGAGTTGAGAACGGCTTCAATTCTGGTTAACAATGTCGTGAATTCTTCATAATTTAATTTGTGGTAGCCAGCGAGCTTCTTGAAATGAGATTTAAAGCTTTTTAGCTGATTCCCATAAACCACCCATATGATAAGCCCTTGGGGGGATGAACTGCCACTTGATACCTTGAGGGGCGTATTTTTGAACAATGTCAGGTGAGACTTGTTTTATGAACTCCACAAACTGTTTTTCTGTAGTTCTTTGAGCTACTAAGCTAAATGTTTTGCCTTTATCGCTCATGATTTTTGATCAATGGTCGGCATTTCTTAGCACTATTCTGCAAACTAACTTCACACGTATACTTACGCTCTATCGTTCAGTCGTTGTCGAGCCAGCAATGAATTAACATCACGCAAGACTAAAGCGCAAAACCAAATATTCCCTGCGAGAAATATTTTATGATTCTAGATGCCTTTGGTGCCATGCATGCCTTTTATGTTCCAAGTCTTTTAAAGATAATAGGGAATATATCCTTAAAAGACATTTTGTTAATTTTCATTATACTATTAATTATTTAGATGAAAAAGAACGAAAATGTCTTTTTAAAGAAAAAATAATAATTTTTTTGCAAAAAATATCTGATTGCTTACGTAAAAACGAATACTTAGATTATAGTGACCGTATTAATGAAAACCTAAAAACACATCTATCAAGTTCCATTAATTTGGAGATTGTTAGGCAGGGTAGGCCGTTTTCCGATAGAGTCTTCATTAAAAAATTAAGTTTATTTTATAATTTTGATTATAAAATTTGCTTAATTTTAATTCCAATTTCTCATTTGGCTACTTTTTTTCGACACCTGTAGTGGTGAAAGGCGGCGCGAAGTTGCAGCCTTCAGGTGGAAGTGCTGCCATAATCTGCGTTCGCATTTTCCGCTTATGCATAGTTATTCTTGATTTGAGACTTCAGACGTGGAATATAATACTCTTGTCGTCCCACATGCTGTATGAGACGGTTTTCGGCGTGTAGCATTAATATACGTATGTAATGCAGGAATAATGTGGCAAATGGAGACTTCTCAAGTATTATTATGGGGTGGCGCTCTTGGCTTGAATTAGCAAGCCGACCATTGGCTAGAACTAAAAGTGAGCTCTTTTTATCAATCGGCTTCGATTCTCTTAGTAATGATATGTCGCGACTAAAGTAGCGCGTTTGAGTTGATGCGATAAGAGCGACCTTTGACTTATAAGGCTTGGTGCGTCAATGTATCGCATTGGGAGTAAGTTGCTCCTTTATGTTTATGTTTACATCGCTCTATGAACTGGAGCATCTAGGCGACTACTCTGAGGGCTCGTGGAAGCGATGAAAGACGTTCAAGGAGGTCATTATCATCCAATATTGTATGATAGGTGTCGATTTTTCGACTTTCTGTGGCAATTATTTTGCTCATTGGCGATTGTGGCAAAGAATCGATGGATTCTGTTAACCACCGGGGGCCATTTCACCAGAGCGTGGTGGCGGCAAGATGCAGGGGTTTTCTGGCTCTCGTACCAAAATCAGCAGGATTGTTAGCACTGGCTACGTGTTGCCATGCGACAGATCCCACTAGGTCCAATATTTGCGAGGTTAGGTTAGAAATATATGTTTTCCACGTATGTAGGGTTTGTCCAACCAGGCTAGGAATATTTTGGAATCAGACCAGAGATATAGTTTGTATTTCTCCATTTCTATGTGCATCTGCATCATTGAAACTAGTTTTGCTAGTAGCAGCGCGCCGCAGAGATCAAGTCGTGGAAGACTTAGCACTTTTAGAGGCGCAACTTTTGCCACTAATAAGTGGCTTGTGGTTGCGGTATCGCTTTGTGTGCGCACAGTGGCACAATATGCCTTTTCAGAGGCGTCACAGAAACCGTGAAGTGTCGTTCAGATTATTAAGGAACTGGGACCATTTTTCTAAGCGGAGAGGTTTCACTTATTTGTCCTAGTCGGTTCCATCTAGCCATAATTCTTGGATCAGAATTTTCGCTTGTATCATAATTGGCGACAGCCATCCTGCGGGGTCGAAAGGTTTTGCCACGGAGTATAAAATCTGTCTTTTCGTTATGGCGGACTGGTCAGATATCGCATTTCATTGGATGCCTAGTGTTTTTGTACTTTCCTTTTCGAATATAAGGAAATTAGTATCCAACAAATGGTCTTTTGGAATATTGTTTAAGATGTTTGGGTGCCTGGCTGTAATCTTTTTTAGAGGAAACCCTGCAGTATTGAGGACATTTATTACCTGAAATAAGAACTGGTATGCTAGTGGAAGACTGTGGCTTCCAGACAGGATATCGTCTACATACGGTCAATACACTTTGTAACAATGTATGCACGATATGTTCTCAAATATGTGTATGTATACGCGTAAAATTTTGGTATGTAATCCTGCTTGTTCTGTGTGACGAAGAACAAGAGGTATTGCGTGGTAGTTGCCGATATGGACTTTGAATAAATGTAGGTACTATGTATGTATATGCATACATAGATATGTATAGTAAAACCTTCAAAGGGTTTGGCGTTTTTTTTTTTTTTTGCCGTTTTTTTGTTTGTTTTTGCCAAAATGTTACAACTGAGCGAAAAGCATCAAGATAAGGAAAAAATTTAAAAGGTCATAAAAAAAAACTGACACATACGAGCGCCAAACCCTTTGAGGGTTTTACTATACAGACCTAGTATACCCCCAGACAATAATCCCAAAAATGTTCCAATGTTCCAAAAAATTGTATTATAATTTGAGATATGCAGAAATAATCACTTTGGGGCGTTCACTGCCTTCATTTCCCTCGGTGCTCATTTCGCCTCTTTCCCACTTAGCAAGTTTGGTATTACCATCTATATATAATATCAGCCACAGTAAAGCGTTGACATGTCTTCAAGTAAAACAATAAAAACGCTACTTACTCGGTAGCACCAAATACCTTTTTTTTGTGAAACAAAAATATTTCCTATTATGTAAAAATATCATGATTAATTATTATTATTTATTTTTAAGGTGGTAATTTTTAGTATCCATAATGGAAGACGAGGAGTACATTTTATATAATACGAGTATTTCACCAAATTATAGTGTCAGTTGTAGTAGTACAAATGTATTTGTTATATCTTAGGTTAAATTTTATGATATTGATGAACTGTGGAAACATTCGCTGCACACCCCTTACTCACATTCATGACCATCATAGAGTCTGGAGATAACAAAATAATACATAGGAGACCCTGTCATTGGGTCAGCCCTTATCTCAAGGCAAGGAATGAGAAGGAGAGGTTTTTCACCGACTTCAAAAACTTACGGAATGATTCAGCTCGTTTCATCGAAAATTTTCATATGCCACCAAGTGTATTCGATGAGCTTTGGGAGATACCGCAACCACATCTGCTTCCAAAGCGGAATACTAGACCGAACGATTTCATTAGCTAAATTAGCTAAAGCTAAGTTAGCAATTGTACTAGAGTAGGTTGTGAAAATGTATAAGGTACTATATTAGCACAAATATGATTTAACCGTTATGATTTTTCTTTTTTTTCAGGTACTTGGCTTCTGGATATATACAACGCCATATTGCCTCCTGCTACCGTATTAGCAAGCAGCACTTTAGTAGAATCGTATCCGATGTGTGTAAGGGGATATGCAGCGTATTGAAAAATGAAATTCCAGAACACTGAATGAATGAAATTGACAGAACACTCGTTGTTGGAGATATCGAATTGCTTTCGAACACAATGGAATTTTATGAACTGTGTCGGGGTTATCGATGGCAAACACATAGCTATCAAAGCCCCTCCAAAATCTGGAAGCATATTTTATAATTACAAAGTAAATGAATACATATAGATTATAATACCCTCGTACGCTCGGGTATTCATAGTTAATAATTTTTATTAATATGTTTTTATTATAGGGATTCCATTCTATTACGTGAATGTTGGTACTTACGGAAGCATAGGAGACTCCAATATTATGAAGAATTTCGAGATTTGGTATCATCATACTTAATGACAGCTTTATTGATGGCAAAAAAGTACGAAACTTCAATGTAGGAGACGACGCATTTCCACTGTGTATACGTATTCTAAAGTCTTAGCCAGCCAGCAAAAACCTTTCCACAGAGGAACAAATTTTCAATTACCGTTTGAGTAGAGCAAGACGGCGTATTGAAAACGCATTTGGAATTCTGAGTGCAAAATGGCTTTGCCTTATAAAGGTATTATTTTGGCACCCAGATCGGGCACGATCGATTGTTTCAGCATTCTGCCTGCTACATAACCGGCGAATACTTTCAGAGCTGGAGTGTTTTCGTTCATCCGACAACATGACCTAGCCAGCGTAGCCGCTGTCTTTTAATTCGCTGAACTATGTCCATGTCGTCGTATATCTCGTACAGCTCATCGTTCCATCGAATGCGATATTCGCCGTGGCCAACGCGCAAAGGACTATAAATCTCTCGATTTTCGAGGTATGAAACCTCGTTTGGTGTCGAACAGCTCGGAGAGGTCCTTCCCGATTCTGACGGAAATTTTGGTGGTGCTCAACGTGAGCTTACACAGCCATATACGTTTTGCAGGGATACCAAATTCAGACATTGCGGCATAAAGGCAGCTCCTTTTCGTGCTGTTTAAAGCAGGTTTGAAATCGACGAAGAGGTGGTGATTGTCGATTCTCCTTTCACGGGTCTTTTCCAAGATTTGGCGCATGGTGAATATCTGGTCGGTTGTTGATTTTCCAGGTCTGAGGCCATACTGATAAGGTAAAATCAGTTTGTTGACGGTGGGCTTTAATCTTTCACACAATACGCTCGATAGAACCTTATATGCAATATTGAGACAGCTTATCCCACGGTAGTTGGCGCAGATTGTGGGGTGTCCTTTTTTGAGGATTGAGCATAGCACACTTAAATTCCAATCGTTGGGCATGCTTTCGTCCGACCATATTTTACAAAGTAGCTGATGCATGCTCCTTATCAGCTCTTCGTCACCGTGTTTGAATAGCTCGGCCGGAAATCCATCGGCCCCCGCCGATTAGCTGTTCCTCAGGGGTAATTGCTATTCGAGCTTCTTCCTGGTCGGGCAACGGAACGTCTACTCCATCGCCATCGATTGGGGAATCGGGTTCGCCTCCTCCTGGCGTTGTGCGTTCACTGCCATTCCGCAGGCTGAAGAAGTTTTCAATCCATAATTTAAGTATGCTCTGGGCATCGGTGACTAGATCACCTTTGGGGGTTCTACAAGAGTATGCTCCGGTCTTAAAACCTTCTGCAAGCCGCCGCATTTTTTGGTAAAATTTTGGAGCATTACCCCTGTCGGCCAGCGTATCCGAGGCTGTTGTTGCGTTTTCATTGGGGACGTTTTTTTACATGGCGGGTCCCAAACCCAGCGCACAACCCTGTGCAGATGATGTTTCGTCTTCTCACTTTAGCTCGCCTTGAAATGGATGTTCTTAGGCAACCCAGAGGATACTTGGTCAGGGACCGGAAGTCGTGAGCTGCTTGAGTCATATGTAAAAGAATCGTTTCTGGCCACTCCCAAGTGAATGGCGATCAGAGAAATCTTTTTGCTTCTTTAAAATGTTGTTGAATCGATTCCATGCCTCCATGCCATGGCTTTCTCTAAACGTCCGACTACTTGTGGTTGGTGTTGGATTCGGCAAAATACACAAACAAAAAATAAAACATGCACATTTTATATATATCCTTTTACATGCACATTATAAACACAACCATATTGCGGAACACTTAACACCTCCACATTCGTTCTATTTATGGTGGAAGATGAATTAAAATCTTCAAATGTTGGACCTGTGAAAGCACAACAAAAATTCATGAATTTTTAAAATAATATTTCTTTTGTGTGATATGCAGGGTGGCTGATGAATTTTGCTACATTAAGAAACTCAAATAGCTTTTTTTTTTTCAGTGTATGGAATTCATTTTTCTTTTATTCATGTTAAAGCTCATTAAATTTTATTAAATATAGCTTTATTAGTTTTAAAAATAATGGAATTTAAATGCCCCCCCTGCTCGTTGATGCATGTGCAACATCTTACCTAAAAGTTGTTCATTACTGCTTGGAGAGTTGAGACAGGAATAGCCGCAATTGTTTCTCGAATGGATTGCCTTAGTTCATTAAAATTTGTTGGTTTTGCTTTGTAGACTTCCTGTTTGCAATAACCCCACAAGAAAAAGTCAGGTGCAGTAAGGTCAGGCGACCTGGGTGGCCAACGGAATGTGGAGTTTCTGGATATCAGCTTATTGGGAAATTTTCGTCGCAATTCTGTCATAACAGGTTGGGCTATGTGAGGAGCTGTACCATCTTGCTGAAACCACACAGAGTTGAAAGAAATTCTCATTCGGCGTAATTCTGGATAGAAAAACTCTCTCAACATGCTCAAGTAACGGTCTCCAGTAACCGTAACGGTGTGACCATTTTCTTCGAAGAAGTAGGGCCCGACAATGCAGCGTAATGAAACTACACACCACACTGTGACACGAAGTGGATGCAATTCCGTCTCATGGAGTATCTGTGGGTTGGAAGCACTCCATATTCGACAGTTTTGTTTGTTTATGTTGCCGTTTAAATCGAAATGGGCCTCGTCAGACATGAAAAGGCAGTTCAGTTCAACATGTTTCCATCCTCTTCCACCATTTGAAGCATCTTCTGGAAAAATTTCAAGCGAATCGGCAAGTCTGCAGCGTTTAGTTTGTTAGCCATTTGAATTTTATATGGGAATAAGTCGAAATCTTTGTGCATAATTGACTGTAATGACTGTCTGCTTACACCCATTTGAGCGGATAAGCTTCTTGTCGAAACACGTGGATTGTTTTGTATGGCAGCAACTACAGCAGCGATTGTTTCCTCCGTTCGAACTGAAGGGTTTCGATGGTAAGGTCTTCTGTTGACTGTCCCATGCTCGGCAAAATTATTTACGTGCGCCTATACTCTCTTTGAACCGAAACTACGGACTCCAGTGCTTGATAGCGGCGGACAATCCAAATTCTTGTTTCAGTGTCCCAGTTATCCATTTTTGTTAAATGTGAAAGTCAATCTGTAAAATAAAATAAAAAATTAACCAGATTCATTAAATAGAAAAGAAGTTATTTAATTTTTTTTTGGTAGCGCTTTCATCAGCCACCCTGTATTTGGCAAAAATACCATTTCTTCAGCAAACTCTCAATCAATCGTGTCTGAAAAAAAGGCTCCTCCAGCGTTTCTCTACCACTTTTGTGATTGCGGGCCATTTTGGCGTGATGGCGATAGCTCTCCCGTATGCAAATCCATCCAGCTTTGCACTCACTAGCTAAATAGAAATAAAAAATAAAATCAAGCTAAGATATTCATTAATTAAACTTTAATTTATATATACTTACGAGTTTTGGCAACCGAATTGCTTTTGTGGACCCAGGCCTGCTCCATAGCATTTTTATTCGAATGCATAAGGTTTGCTATGTCCCATATTCGGGGCAACTCTTCCACTTCTTTAGTTAGTTGTCGTTTTTACCTGCTGTGGAATTTTTAATTCTCTTTTGCCGCTTTCCTACAAGTCTTAAATCTTCCATTTCCAATTATTAAACACCCAATTTGCGTCAGAAATATATAGAAATTGTTATGTTTTTCGCAAAACCAGTGTTGCCTATCCAAAATTTATAAAATAAAAGTAGTATATATACTTACTGAAATACTAAAATTAACACCAGAAAACTTCTTCATCATTTCCTAAGCGTTTTTTCATATGAACTTTTTGCTTTTCTTGAGAGCTGGAATCCCACCTTAAAGCTTGAAAGCTTATTAATGAAAATATTAGCTTATTGAGCCTAAGATATTTAGTTACAATGGAAATCAAATCACAAATCTTTTGTGACCTCCAGGTTTCAAATATTATAAAACCAATGCTGATATACGGAGAGCTGGTTTAGATTAGTCAGCATTAAAGAAACACTATAATACCAACTAAAGGGAATACAGAGAGTAAAGATTTCCAAGGCTTTTAAATAGTCAATATGCTCAACCATTACCTGCACAGAGACTTTGTTACTTAGAAAACAGCAGCATGTACAATTAATATGAGCAAACAACATTTTGTTTAGCGCCGCCGAAGATCGCGTTTAACTAGAAAATTATTAAATTCTTTTCTTAAGATTTTATTACTAATTTCCAAATATGTACAATTAAAATTATGAAACAATTGACAGCGTTTGTTTTTAATTTTCTTAAAGTGCATGTTTTATGTTGCCACACTACCATAGATGTGCCCTTTAAAACATTAAAACACAGTTTATTGCAGCCGATAGGCAAAATCCTCTAAAGCAACGCTAAGCAGAAAAACATGCAGGTGATGGATCTACCGAAGTTCCATCTATGGAAGTCTGTTAATCAACAGATTGGAAAAACTAGAATTCGCTATACAATACAACATTTTATCATCATCCTTAGATATAAACACCACTGCAACCTGTCGCCAAGCCTTGGGAATATGACCTGATATAACTTAATTCGCGTATATGGGGGCCTGTCAGTTGCATGACAAATTGCCTGTTGCAGTTGCGCCTGTGCAATTATATGATGCCATCAGGACCTTATAACTTAAAGGTGTGAACGAATTCAATGACCAAGTGAGGTAAGGATTGAACAGATCTTCCGAGAGGCTTCCCCAGTAGTACTTCTTTAGTGAGCTTCTTTTAGAGCGTCCAGGAATAGTTTTAAAGAATAGGCAGTACGGTCTATCTACCATTGATATATAGCTTAAATACCCCAGAGGAGTAGGTCTTTTCGTAAAAATGTGCCTATACTTTGAGGACTCATGACAGGCCTTTACACTTCCCCAGAATGTTCACCACAAAGCTCTCTTACTCTTCTTTAACCTAAATTTGTATAACCATAACTATCCAATTGCTGTTAGAGCCAATTCTAAAGGCTTTGGTGAAAAGTCTTCTGTTCGAAGCTCTGCATTGCACTGCTCCCTTTTCTACTAAAGCTTTCAGTGCCACATAAAGACCTGAAAACCTATATGTACTTATCAATCGGTAAGGGTCAATTCCTTGCCGGATGCGACTCGAAGGGACTCGAAGGGAAGACACTGCTTACACTAACTCATCGAATTTAGCGGGGGTAAGCTATTTGCTTGGGTTTACTTTCCTTATTTTGCGAAACGGTTTTGAGAGGCGTCACTTTTCGAATTGGCAGAGATGTTGCTACAGAGTATAATAGTTTTGTTCCCCTAACCAGAACTAATATATACAGATATGGGGTTATACCTATATAAATGATCAGGATGTTAAGGACGAATTGATATCCGGAAGACTGCATGTCGGTTCACCTGTATGCTTGTGCAATCTAAATCTGGGGTATCTTG